TATAACCTGTGAATTGCTTTCCAATATAGCTAGTCAGTTACCTTTTTATTCGCGGTAATTCCTAGTCGAAAGCACTTAATTCTGATCACAAAATATGTGCGTGAGCGCAGCACCCCGTTGCTTACAGTGCAATTGCTTTTTACAATTCATTTATTATTCCTTCACTGACATTGTTTTAAATTATCACCGTGCGTTCGTTTTATTATGCTCACTTTGGTCTGATTAAACTGTGTATTTCAGTGAGGATAGTTTGTTATATTTTTCCTTGAAATTGCCATCCTTCACCCCACAAACGTTTCGAAATATCCGTTCTCTGTATATCTGAGATCAAGCTCCGCATCCCATCGAAGACATGAATTAAGCAATATTGCATATTTTATTAATTTGAGCATTTTCTACCCCAAAAATAATTTTCGCCAAAGCACATAATTTGGAAATGGTTCGTGCTCCCCCGATGCTCCGTGCTTCGTGAAAAACCGACTGCGTGAGCAGGGAAGCGAGCAAATTCCGTTTCTTTTTTTTTTTTTTTTTGGGGGGGGGGGGAGGGGTAGTTTTGGCATTTTGGGAGGGGTTTCAAACCCCCTAACCCCCCCCCCCCCCCCCCCTCTGCCTACGCCACTGGTTGGGCACACTCCAACAACTTCTGCTAAACGCAGACTCCTCAGCTTTCTCATTCGGAAGCTTAAGACTGTTGGCTTCACAGTCTTAAACTTAAGCTGGCTGTGGTCTGTCATTAGGGGGCTTCAAACGTAAGCTTGGCCAGCCAACTTGCTGTGTGTGTTAATAAACCATTATTTTAAAGTTGATTACGAATATGTTTACTTTATCTCTGATGTCTCGCACCTCCCCAAAAAACCAAGAGCAATCTCCAATCACACAAACTTTGCATTTGAAATAAGGTCATCGAGTGGTCCCACATTGCCGAACTTTATCGCCCATGAGATGGGCTTGCAATTGGCTCCGAAACTTACTGAGAGACACATTTTTTAAAAACATTTCAGTAACATGGAAGTAAATCGTGCCGCACAGGTACTGAGTGCCTCACTCTTTCTTTCAATCATTTCCCTTGTTCATGCCAAGGAGCTTCCTGAGGCAGGCATGGCTACAGCCTATTTCTGTGGTAGGAGGTACATACATTTTAATTGTCTAAATAGCTCACAATTCAAGAAGACAGTGCAGAAGTTGCGTCATGCAATTCTGAAGGGAGAATTTGAAATACTCGATTTCCTTCACCAGCAACTCGGATGGATTTCAGAGTGGCAGTTTCAAAGTAGGAGGCAGCCACAAGCCATCATAGCGCGGCAAGTTACTATAAAAAAGTGTCTTCATGATCTGGGATGAGCTTTCAAAAAGTCATGACTTTAAGTTCTTACTTACACGGCGCTTGCAGCCAGACCCACTTGAGAAACTTTTTGGAACTATACACGGCAAAAGCTGGGCGGCAACACAAACCCAAATGTGCATCAGTTCACCTTAGAACTAAAACACATAGGGATAAAGAAACTTCAAACTGTCGAACAATGGAAGCGTAGAGGATGACAAGGTTTACCTCCTCAAGTATTTGCCAATATCTTCGCATCATGAAAGTTCAATTTCAGACAATGTGGAATGTCTTCCAATTGATAACTTCCCGCCACTAGAGGATATTTCTGAGCTGGCATCAAACATTAAGTCTAACTTAATCGATGACTCGTCCACTCATTACGTTTGGGGCTATTTGATAAAGTTTGTGCTTGAACAGACAACCCACAGCTGTGACTGTTCTCAGCTGCTATGGGATGAATCTATAACTTGACCAGGCCTCACCTGTACTTTCGTGTGCTCAAAGCGTACCTCGTGCCAGGAAAATTCTTCGGGAACTTAGCAGTACCATCACAGGCTACCTTTAATTTCATACAGCAACTAGAAAATCACTTTCTTCCTATAAAAGATGTTCGAGGAGTGTACGCCGCCTTGTATCGCACACTTTGAGGTCTGGGTGGTTTTAGCCTTTGCTCAGAGGAGTGCCACAAATGTTTTTTTAAACATTTTTTACAGAATACGCTTTTGTTGGCATGTTCGATTACTTAACCGGAATTTGGACAAAGTTCGGTTGCACTATTCAGTGGCTGGTAAGCAACTACACAGGTTTAACTGTTAATAGCGCATTAACGGAGGCAGCTGCCAAACTAAAAACAGAAAGTGTTTATTAATTGGGCGGTGGTGCTTCCACTCCTAACATTTGTTTCCCCCTTTTCCAGCAAATGTGTATCACGGCTCCCTAACGAAAATATTTATTCACTTTCTACAGACTTTCTACAGCAAATAGTGAATAGAGGCTAAAAATATTCAAAATAAAATGTATCCACTTTTGTACCCACTGTCTATAGTTTTATAGCCACTTTTTTTCTAAAGTCATACTTCTTTCCTGAAAAATTTAGGGGAATGTTTAGGGACGATGAATCTTGTCAAATTTCGAATAGAGCTCTCATTGTTTCGTAATAGCTTGCCCGCATTAAGTCCAGGCTACGGAAATTGGTGTTTATTGAATTAGCCGGAAATTGGGAATTTGTAATATCCGGTCTGTGCTTCGCACTCTTATTAAACTCTTATGACTGGTAATGATAGTGATGTCTTATTTATTTCTGCACTTACTTCCCGTGCCCGAGTCGGCGTGAAAGTGAATGGATCATTCAGCATATTCTCTGTGGAAAGTTTTTGTTAACTTGGTTCCGCTAAGAATCCATACGAAGTGTACGATATGCCGAACTCCCTCATATTAACTTATTTTTGTGAGTATCGGTTTCGTATAATACATACAGAGCTTCTGAATTAAATCATGTATACATGAATGTGGTCCAATAAAATGCTTTCGATCCATTTACTATTGTTGACCCCAAAATGCTCCACCAGCCAGGAGTCAATGTGGCGATTGTGTAACTTCAATGTTTTACAATAGGAAAAGAACAAGAAATACACTCGGTTTCGTGAAGTAAGTTGAAATATTGTTTGACACATTTGGCACGGATTCTATCGTAAAAATTAAAATAAATGTGCGTCAGTATTAGAAAAAAGAACACACAAAAAATACAGCGGCTTCGGGAGTCGAGGAGTTCCCGAGAGCCGACCGAGGAGCGAGGCGGGGAGGAAAAAAAGAGAAAAGAGTAGTGGAGAACCAGAGCCAGAAACGCCCAAACCGAAACCGAAACCGAAACTAACTTGACCAGAACCGGAATCAGAATATGCTAAATGCCGCCCGCTAGGAGCTCTACCTGTCACTGGCGTATCTGGGCCGCTGGGGCCTATGGCAGTGTCCGCTCTTTGCCTTGTGTATATTACTCTATGGTATAGACCCAGAACATAGTTTAGCAGAGTGGGACGTGAAGTTGGGGGAGCCAGCAGCGTTCTGAATGTCACGTCACCCGCCCGAGGCGCTAACACCAAACTGGGGATGCACACCACTCTCAGGCGGCATGTTTTGGGGCCCCTTTTTGCTGCAATGGCGAGAAAGGATGCTTTATAACCGTTCGACTAAGTGCTCCTAGTGACGTTCATTAAACACTTTTGATGACAGACGCTGAGAAAACAAGTACAAGTTAAAAAAAAATGACGGGTGTCAAGAAAACCAAAAAGAATTGAAAAAAGTGTCAAACTTTCATCGTAAGACTTATAAATGACCGGTTCTGAAAAGGACCGGGAATTTATAAGGAGGATAATGGGTATCTAATTTTAGGCGTTACAGCGACTCCCGTGAAAATAGAAATATAGTGCCGTTGAAGTATTTTCATTGTCCTTTTTTTACGAAAGTTCCAATAAAATGAGAGAGATCGTCACTTTATTAGTCTAGCAACAGATATATATGTCTCACGCGCCCACATATTGATAAGCGAACTGAAAAGAATGTGCGCGAACATAAGTGCTGAGAACGAGCAGTAGCATTGTCATTTAGTTACTACCCCCCCCCCCCCCCCTAATAGCGTGTATCCAGTAATCACACTCGTGCGACTTCTTTGTAACCAGAAAGCAAGCGAGAAATCGCAGTTTGGCGAGAGAGCGCTCAGCCCCTGGCATCTACAAAGTGCACGTACCAATCCTGCATACGCTAAAATGAAGGCTGCCAGAGAACTGGAAAGTTCTATATAGCTATTCGGTATGTCCTTCAAAGCTTATCTCATCTGTCGCGAAGGAGCTCCTTATATACTCAGCCGTTGAAGACCGACGACCAGTTCGCGCTTTCCACTTTTCCCTCGCTTCCTCCTCTCTCCCCCCTTTTTGCATTGTCCACCGTTGCATGTTTCCTCCTCCCCCATGGTGAGAAGGATCTTTTGCCTTGCAGAATCTCGAGTATGACTGCCGGCCTTTCAACACACGGGCGCTTGCGCAAGTTTTGGATATTTCGCGGACGTTGGTGCGACTAGAACGACGCATGAAGCCATAAGAATTGTGCAGATATTGGGGTTGCCATCAATTACCGTAATAATATTGTACTAGCATTGCGGTTAGTGAAAGGTCTGTCCCCTTCAAGTGGATCAGGATTTTTTTTTTTTTTACGTTTTCGCGTGTGCAAGACGTCTTATCAAAAGAGCGTAAGCCTTACTCTCAGATACCGTCACTGTGATTTTCACTGGCTGGACTCTTATCAAAAATCGTGACTGAGCGACTCCTGTCTGCAAATGGCACTCAAAGCGCCATAGGGAGAAACTGAGTTTTCAATAGATCTTTTATCTAATTACCGAACAACCACTGAGAATGCTGTGAACATAAATAGGTACACGCGGCCTGCATTTGCTCGCTTATTTGTAATAAAAATTGGAGCTAAATAACCAAAATAAATAGGTGACGAAATCATGTTTAAAGTTCAGTTTGTTTTAGATTTTCGCTTTAGAAGAGTTACTACTGCAGGCTCCAGCCCGTGCTGCGCGTGTACCTACACTGACAGCACGCTCCTTGGTGCTTCCCTTAATGTAACAAAATGTCTATTCGCTGGTGTAGCGTTAAGCGACATTAGACGTTTACTGTACCGGCCAAATTGAAGAGGGAGACAAGGAGCGTGATTGGCCAAGAAGCCTCCTGTCGACTCGAAGAGAAGGTCTCGATGATGCCGTAGTAGAGGATTCCTGCTACCCGGACGCTCAGTTGGGACATAAATAGCACCAGGCAGCAGAAGGCCAGTACCACCCAGCTCCGCGGAGAGTCAATCCCGTGGGTTGGGTGCTTCTTGAGGAACTCGGAAGAATATGCCATCTTGTCTTTCGCCAGCTTCTTTTCAAGAGATGTTTGTCAGGGCAGTTGTATCACTCGGTTCCGGTCGGGTCACTAGTCAACCGCTTGTTGCAGAGGGGCCGACATTGCGTCTTCAAACCTGCACCGAGCCAGGACGTAGATTAGACGCTCCCCTGCACCGAGTACGTGATATCACAGTAATCGATATTTCCACGCCAACGATACCTGATGCCGTATCGGGGTTCTGGTGCTGCGAGATAATTAAGGCAGCCTGCGTGGAGTGATAGGCTCTGACATTCAAGTGAATTATAAGAGACGTCTGATTAAAAATATTGACTTATTGGACAAAATTCGCAGCCATTACGCTGCCAGGACGAACACCTTTATTTTAAGAGTAGTATTATGGTTCATCTGACCTTTGTTATTAATAATAATACATAATGCATGACTGCCCAGCAAAAAGCGGTTGTAAGCTTAGGCCAAAAATTGTGAGTGAGGTGCCACCCACGAGGGAGACCTGCTTCGGCGGTGAGACTACATTACAATGGCCATAACGATTCTGCTAAATTTGGCAGGCAAGTTGTTGGTGGCCAAATTTAGCGGACTGTAGTTACGTGACCAAATCACGTGATTACGTGACTCAAATGACGTTACTTCCATGTCGCTTTTTTTTATGATGATTGCTTTTGTGAGGTCCTTTTTTTTCACACAGCCAGGGCTATAACACCTTCAGCGTTAAATTAAATCACAACCTAATGGACACCACATATTGAGAGTTAATCGAAAACAATGTTATTCTGAATTTGTTCAAACGTTTCCTATTTATTTTCCATTACTTTCTTATGGAACGTAAACTATACAGAAAATCAAGACTGACTTTGGTTCTGGATGTATGAAAGACGTATTTGTAAGCACACGGCGGCATAGTTTTTCGCTCATTTCCGTTTTCCGTCTCCGTTTATAAGGAAACACAATATGGCCTCCGAGCCTAGTCATTTGCAGACGTATTGGCGTGCCAATTACGCCGATCTTCGGGAAGTGTCCAACGAATGAAGGACAACAATACCCGATTCAACTGGGAAAAAAAAAATATCCCCGCGTTTACATGCATAAAATATGGGTCCCGACATTTCATCGAACGTCTTTTCATCGAACACCGTTTCATCGAACGCTGTTCTATCGAATGCCGTTTTATCGAACGCCATTTCATCGAAGCCGTTTCATCGAACGCCGCCTATATACTTGAGCAGTAGCAATTCTATATCTAGGAAATATTTTTTTTCCTTTTAGCGCCGGGAGGATAGCAGTGTTTTAATACTTATTATAATGTATAAACTTCAACATATATAAAGGGAAGAAACCTTTTTTGTCACCTTATATTCTTTTTTACTAAATGATGACCTCTGTTAAGGTGGCCAATAAGAAACGGGGACACGGACAATATTTTTTCAGCCTTTGATCATCAGGTGCAGTGATGAACGCACGTCCGTTCAAGGATGTACATATCTTCGTCCTTGAAGGGATCTGTTCTGCTTCAAGACGAAGCCGTCCTTGAAGCAGTGATCTGTCTCCGTGCCCCATGATACGGAAAGAAAAAAAAAAGACGTGCCTCCCCTTTTTGTTACTTTATTGTAACCGACAGGACCACGGTTCTTTCGGTTACAATAAATTAGCCAAGAGGGCAGACGCGTTTTTTTAAGAAGATATATGTTCCTAAAAAGAGAGCTATTCTCCTAGGATAAAATGAAAACACGGGTAGATCAACCAGTAGCAAATTAAAAAAAAAGGCGCTGCTGTTTCCTTTTTGAAGGGATGAAGTGGGAAAAAGCGTGCGTCCGAGAACTGCCCACCTCGGGATACGGCCCATTCGTCACATGTCGAGCAGCGTGGGCTGCAGTTCTCCCAATAACTGGCCCTTCCTGGGCTGCATCAAGAGAGAGCAGTCATTGACAGAGATGAAGCAGGCTCAAGCAGAGGGCGACACGACATCTTCGAGGGTGTCGAAGAAGCAGGTCCACTGCAACCGGCGTCTGCAGGTCGTTGTGAGCCGCTACGATGGTCGCAATCGTCTTGAAGCCTTGAGGGTGGCAGCTTGAAATATAGCTTTTCAATATGTTTTTATTTCGCTCAATAAACTTGTTGTTTTCTAAGTACAACGATGACTTGTTTGGAAGAAGATGAAAATAAATGGTGCTATGGAGAATTTGGCAGCCTTGAAATGGCGCCGGCTACTCCAAAACTCTAAGGTGATATGAACTAAGACCTAAAAACGTAATGGATAAAGAAGAAAAGAAATGAGTACGAAGTAAGAGCACATGCCTAACACGACCACACCAGTAGACACAAACACAAACACGCGCACAAAAAAAAAAGAAAAAAAAAAGGAGCGTTACAGAACCCTTGCTTCAAAACACAGCACAAAACAGTTGATGCAGTTGATGCATTTCTTGTCAGTCTGTTACTTGTCTCATCTTCAGCTGGAATAGAGCACATCACTTACACTCTCGCTGCATACTGTCACGGTCACTCACTTGTGCACATAGCTACAAATATATACAACCATAGGCGTACGGCATATATCTGTACTTAATATTCGTATAAAAGTCCACTGTCTTTTAAAAAGTCACAAATAATGTTTAGTGCTCTTTTGAGTGTTTGTCGGTTCGCCCAAGGGCCCAAGATCTTTGCCAAAGATAAGGGACGACTGTCCAATAGTTGAAGTCGAGTTTTCATTCGATTCCTTTCACTGGCGTAGCACTGACATTCTAAGAGGATGTGATTAACATCCTCAAAAGGATCACCACATTTGCATACTGGGGTCACACGATGTCTAATTCGATGCAAGAAACTTCCAGTAAAAGCCACTTCGAGTCTTAATCGGTGCAAGAGAGTGTCGTGTTTCCTTTTTGTTCCGGAGTAGGGTGGAAATTTAAGGTCCGGGTCAATATGCGGAAGGAGAGAGTCGACAGATTTCTCAGTGAACCAGTGTCGTCGTGAATATTCCTCTCGGTAATGCCGAAGTAGTAGTTTGGCATCTGTGGGTGTGAAGATGTTTAGTTTCATTGCGTCATATATGTAGGCTTCTGTAGCCAATCGATCAGCTTCAACGTTTCCATCAATTCCACAATGCCCTGGGATCCATTAGAAGACTTATCGAGTGTCCAAGGCTCTCTGCATGGACTAGTGTCATTGGAATTTGATACAGTAAAGGTCCCAAAGAGGACCGCATATTTATAAACCCATCAATAGTTATAGTGCGTTCCTAGAATCTGTCAGTATGATCCAATTGTCTGGCTTATTAAAAGTGTCAATAAATGTCGACGCTGAAAATATCGCATGCAGCTCGGTAGTTGTTGAACAGACATGGTGCGAAAGCCGAAAGCATTTGTTTACATTAAACTTGGGAATAGTAAAAGCAGAGGTTGAGCCTCGATTTAATGTCGATCCGTCTGTATAAACATGAATAGCAGTGTCGCAGTGAAGTTGTATATGATCCAGGGAGAGCATTTTTGCCACAGTAGAGTCTACAGATGATTTAGAATCAATTTCAGATATGTCTGTTTGTATATTCAGTGGCGGTATTGTCCATGGGGGGCGTTGTAAGCAGTGTTGGAGGTAACGCGTTACTAGTAACGACGTTACTGGTAACGCGTTACATTTTTCGCTAACGCAGTAACGTACTCGTTAGTATTCTGAATAGGGAGTTTTCGTAGACCGCGCTGCCCCCTCCGCTAAGCGTTCCGCAACGAAGAAGTTGCTACTGCGCCTGCGCGCCGATAGCCTCGACTGTGGAGTTCCCGCTATTGTAGCGGGTTGCGGAGGGCCTTGCGGGACGCCGAAAACGATCTACGAAAACTCCCTAATGACTAACGAGTAAAGTATTTCCGTTACTTTTTTACGGTATCGGCTGTCGAATTTCGTTACTCGTTACTCGTTACTTTTGACCAAAACTGGTGAAATCCTGCAGGAGCTTATCTCAAAACCCTGCACCAGCTTATCGCTGTACGGAACCAGCATCCGTCACAGTAAAACTAAAAAAAAAACAAAAAAACTAACTTCTCAAAGGCAAAAAATACCTTCGGCTACCAGCTAATTCCGTCCATCATCCTTTTTTTTCATAGTGTCACCACCCACAAGGCCCCTCCCTCCTCTCCCCCCCCCCCTGCTTTGTGCAGCAGAAGTGGACGGGGGGGGGGGGGGGGAGGGGGGGAGCCGTGGAGAGACATCCGTTTACAACAGTGGACAACTAGTGGCGAAGCGATTTGCTCATTTCTCTAGTTTCAAAAAAAAAAAAAAAGAAACATCCTTTGAGGCATATTTTTACCCTTGCTCTCCTTCTTGCTGCCTGAAAGTTCCTGACCCACTTTTGTACACAGAAGAATCTTGCGCCTGATTAGTCTTTAATTCCCTAAGGTCATGATAAAAAAAAAATTTTTAAAAAAAGTTTTAAACCTGGAAAGAAAACTTACAAACACGAGAGCTTTTTTTTTTTTTCTTTTTTTTTTTTCACAGAAAAACCAGGAGCTATTGCTGATAAGAGGCAGCAAGTGATTATAGCCAGTGTGCTGGTAACCGGTGTCATGTTTTCATTTCATTTCATTTATTTATCCTTAAGGGCCCGGGTGGGGCATTACATAAGGGGGGGAGTAGACGAGAACTAAAATACACTTTGACACTTGAAAACGACAAAAATAGGAAAAGGAGAGAGTCAAAATAACAATAGTAAAAAACACAAAGTACTGATATGGTTTAGTCGGGAATGGTTAGTGGTTGTGTAAAGAGACTTCCTGGCGAAACCTTATTGGGTCAGTGATGACTACAATGTCGTCGGGAAGGGAGTTCCAGATGGCTATTGCATGAGGGAAAAAGGAAGTGTTGAAGGCAAGCGTTTTGCCTGCAATACGCTTGATGCATTGACTGTGATTAAGGCGTGATGATACTCGGTCTGGAGGAGCAAGAGGGGTGGTATGGGAGTATGGATAGTTGTATGGGTAGAACTTATGCAATAAACATAACCGAGAGTTCAATCTTCGACTGGACAGTAAGGGTAGTTCTAGAGTTTCTTTAAGTTGGGTTACACTGATGTCATGAGTATAAGCTGATGCGATGAATCGGGCTGCGCGGGTTTGTATGCGTTCC